CATACCCGCCGCACCGCCGCCGACGTGGCCGCGCTGCCGCCGATCAGAAATCCGAGCATCTCCACAGCCGGGATCAGGTCGATCAGCATCTGCGCGACTCCAACTCCTTGGGGTGCGCTGTGCTGTAGATCGTGCCTTCCTCCATCTGCGCCTGCACTGCCGCGTTGACGCACAGGGTCATTGTAGCCGAGCAGAATGGGGCCGAAGCCCATCAGATAGTCCAGATACTCGTTGCCGTCCACGTGTCCCAGAAGCGGGCGCCGGCAGCGCGCTGCGTAAAGACGGGATACCCGAGCGCCAGCATCTCGTGGCTGCGCTTGTGCCCCTGGCAGCCGCGCACGATCAACTGGTCGGAGCGGTCAAGCAGGGCCTTGGACTGTTCGATGTTGTAGGGTTTGACGGGCATGGTGAGTTTCTCCCAACTGCGTATTGGCTTTAGAAACTTGGTGCAAGGTTCAAGAATTTTCTGTTATGATTTCGCCGTTGGGGCCTGTTTCGCTTCAGCCCAGCGCGCCGGCATCCCCGAAGACGATGGGGCAGTAGCGTGGATCGTCGATGAATGTGGTCAGCCCCTGGCGGACATTCCATCCTTCGGCCGGGACTTCTCCGTGCGCATGGGAACGGCGAAACTGCGTCGCGGCTGCGAGGACAAGTTGGGGGCGCTGCCGTGAAATGTCAGCTTCTGATGAAAGCTGGCGCTGCCCGGCGGCAAGATGGCAGGCGCCTCCTGCCACTCCTGATTTTGCTCAACGCGGATGGCGTCGCGCAGGGCATCGTAATCCTGGGAAAAGAAGTCGCTCTTGGTGGACAAGCCCCACTTGTGCGATCCGACCACGAAGTTCATCGGGCCACAGTCAGGGGGCGACATCGCTCAGCGCTACCCAGGCCGTGAACAACTCGCTGTCATCTTCCCAGATACTCCAGTAGTTGTAGTCCTGGTGCCAGCCAACGTGCGTTCGGACCTGCTGACCGGCGACAATCGGCGGCTTATACAGTAGTTGCACCCACCATACCTGCACCACTTCGGCACCGGTGATCTCGGCCGCTTTTGCCCCCAAACCAGGGTGTGAGACAAGCTCCATAATGGCCTGGCTGGCGATCTGTGGCATCTCGATTTTGCAGAGCGAGTCGGGATCGTCACCAGGCGTCCAGGACGAAGGGCGCGGCGGAATGCCCGTATCATACTTACCCGCCCTCAATGCGTCCATGCCAGCTATGGCCGGTTCCACGACGTCCGCCGGTAGCAGCGGCTCCGGGGCAGATGTAGAAGCCATCGTCCTGATACCGCTCCCGGGCCAAGACAATCTCATCGACCTTCATTCTGTGTCCTCCTGAGGTGTGCAATTCAATACTCTTGTGACAGAAAGTGCAATATGTCAGGTGCGGGCGAGACGCAATCGACATTCAGGCGCCTCGTCTTCTCTTACGTTACACGCATTTGAGAAAACGGCAAGTTTTCAGATCGAGGGCAGATCAGGTTCCATGTAGTCCAGTCAAGGCAATGCCCTGAATGAAGGTGCGCTGTACCATATAGAAGATAACTATGATGGGTAGCTGTAAGTGCGGTCGAGGCCGCCATCAGCAGATGGAACTCCGTATCGTGCTCGGAATGGAACATCTGCAGCCCGACAGCAATCGTGAACATATCGCTATCTCTCAGGTAGAGCAGTGGTCCAAGGAAGTCCGACCAGCTGCTCAGAAACTGGAAGAGGACAACGGTTGTTTTGTTTTTGTGGTGTTTGTTTTTGGTTTTTGTGGTTGTTTTGTGTTTTGTTGTGTTGTTTGTGTTTTGTTGTTTTTTTTGTTTTTTGTTTTTTTTTTTTTTTGGTTTTGGTTTTTTTGTGTTTATTTTTTTTTTTTTTTTCGTTTTTTTTTTTTTGTTGTGTTGTGTTTATTGTTGTTTTTTTTTGGTTTTTTTTGTTTGTGTAATGTGTGTTTTTTTTTGCTTTTTTTCTTTCTTCACTCTTCCTTCATACTGCCCTTTGCTCTCTCTCCTTTTGGTTTTGTCCACCCGCCGCTTTTCGGCTCCCTTACTCAGAACCGCCTGTTCTTTTTTTTTTTGGTTTTTTTGTTTTTTTATTCCCCCTCCCCCCCCCCCCCCCCCCCCCCCCCCCCCCCCCCCCCCCCCCCCCCCCCCCCCCCACCACTCGCTCCCCCCTCCCCCCCCGTGCCTCCCGCGTCCCTAGCCCCCCACCCCCCCCCCTCCCCGCCACCCCCCCCCCCCACCCCCCCCCCCATCCCACCCTCCTCCCCCCCCGCACCCCCCCCCCCAACCTAACCCCACCGCCACCCCCCACCCGTCACCCCCCGCCCCGCCCCTGCTCCCCACCGCCCCCCCCCCCCCACCGCCCAACCTCCCCTCGCCCCCCCTGCCCGCCCCCCTCCACCCTCCGCTGTTCCCCACCCTCCCCCCCCGCTCTCAACTTGCGCCTCACTGCCCTCCGCCCCCCCCCCCCACCACCCCCCCCCCCTCCCCCCCCTAGCGGGCTCTCCCCCCCCCCCCCCCACCCCCCATCACCCACTCCCCCCCCCCACCCCCCACACCCCCCCCCCCACCCCCCCCCCCCCCCCCCCCCCACCACCCCCACCCCCCCCCCCCTCCACCCCCCCCCCCACCCCCACACCCTCCCCCCCCCCCCCCCCCCACCCCCCCCCCCCCCCACCCCCCCCCCTCGGTCACCGCGCTAAATCCTCTCCCACGCCTCCCCCCCCCACCCACCCCACTCCCCTTCTTCAGGTCAGGGCAGTGATCAGTTGCAAGTATGTCTCTTTCTCGGATGCCTCCTTGTCTATTTTAGGTGTCTTCGTTCGTCTCGCTCACTGCAGAATCGTCATGAAGAACTGTCGTAGTAAAAAGATATAAAAGGGAACACCGAAGAAAAGAGGCAATACGAGCGGCAGATAGGTGTTAATCCAGCCAATCCTGGCAAAGAGAACATAGAGGGGAAGCATCGTAACCGGAAAAGGAATCATGATCGTCATCAGCATCACTACGAAGAGGACATCCCGCCCCGGCCAGTTGATATGCGAGAATCCATACGCTACCATTGGACAAGAGATCAGTATGCCAACGATAGAGCCGAGCGTGATCACCATCGTGTTGCCTACGTAGCGAAAGAACGGAATGTATGTCACGGCCTCCTCGTAGTTTTGCCAGCGGAATGTGTCGGGAAACCAGCCGGGCGGCCATTTCATCAACTCCGCGGGCGCCTTCAACGAAGTCATGAGCATCCAGAAAAAGGGAAGTATGAACATGACCGATATGGTCAGGAGGATGGCAAGCAAGAGGGAGCGCGTGAACAGGACGGTCCAGTTCATTTCAGGCGCGGACGTGTCCGTTTTTGATAGCATGGCAATGTGGGATGGTTGCAGCCCCGCGCGGCGGCGGGACTTGACCGGGTGGCCTCCTGATCTGGCGCCGGCGCGTTAGGTATCTGTCGTCGTCCCTCTCTCGCCGCCACTGTAATGAACCCAGCCAGAAGTGCGAAAGATGACCAAAGTACAGACGAGAATAATCAGAAACAGTATCCAGGCCATCCCGCTGGCATGGCCCATTCTCATATAAACAAAGGCTTGACGATAAAGATACATCACGTAGAAAAGCAGCGACTTGGCCGGCTGCCCGCTGCCTCCGGTCATGACGTGCGGAGCCGTGAATATCTGGAAAATGGCAATGATCGAAATGACAAGCTGGAAGAAAATAACCGGGGTGAGCAGTGGTATCGTCACATGGCGCGTTTTTTGGGCAACGCTGGCGCCGTCGATCTCGGCGGCTTCATAAAGCGACTGGGGAATATCCTGCAAGCCCGCCAAAAATATGACTACTCCATAACCAACGGTCCATAGCGACATCAGCAGAAGAGTGGGTTTGGACCAGTCTTCGTCGGTAAGCCAGCCAGGCCCGTTGATGCCGAAAAGCTCCCACAGCAGGCCGTTGACGACGCCAAACTGGGGGTTGAACAGCCATAGCCACATGATGGCCAGCGCCACGCTAGGCACCAGCGTAGGAACGAAAATGATGGTGCGAAAGACCGATTCTCCCAGCGCCTTCTGATTGAGGAGAAGGGCAAGCCCGAAACCAACCGCTATCGACGTGGGTACGCTCAGCAGGGCAAAGATGACCGTATTGGAGAGGCTCTTGGCAAACAAAGCGTCGTCGAAGAGCATGTCGACGTAGTTTTCGATACCCACCCATTTCGGCGGCGACATGATGTCGTAGTCGGTCATACTAAAGACCAGGGAAGCGCCTACCGGATAGGCCGTAAAACATATCAAGCCGATGAGCCAAGGGGAGATGAAGAAAGGCCCCCACAGCAGCTTGCGGCGTACGATCTTGCTTTCACGGACCGACTTGAACACAGACGTCTTCTCCCCGAAAAGAAGAGAGGGCAGGGTAGAGAAGAGTGGGAGAGCGCTTATCGCGCAACACTCTTCTCTATTCACTACCCCGAAGTCGAATGCAGTACTGCTTGTTCAGTCTTTCTGCTTTACAGGTATTGCTGCAACTCTTCGTTGAGTCTGGCGTTCAGATCATCCAGCGCCTCTTGCACATCCACCTTGTCGTGCATGATATCGTCGAATGCGTCACTCAGGCCCGCCCATGCCATATCACTCATCGGCGTCGGCGGCATGATGCCGGCAAAGGGCAAGGTATCGACGAAGAAGCTCATCGCCGGGTTTTCGCGGAACGCGGGGCTCTCACCATGCTCGATGTAAGGCGAGAAATTCGACCTGCCCAGATTGTAGGCTTCGATGTTGTCACGCTGTGCCAGCCAGTTCAGAGCCCTGAACGAGTCGTCCAGGTAGCCTACGCCACGGGGGATGGCCCAACTCCAGCCACTGGTCCAGGTGGCTTCTTGCCCGCCCTCGCGCGGGTATGGAATCCAGCTGGCGCCATATTCCATGTCAGGGGCATATTTCCTGAAGTTGGAGATCATCCAGTTGCCGTTGATCATCATCGGGACCACGCCCATGATGAACGGATCCTGGGCCTGCGCGCCGAACGCTTCGGTAAAGGATGTGATCACATTGATGCCACCGAACTGGTCGCGCCAGTTGCGCATCCATTCCCACAGAGCCACTACTTGCGGGTGGTTCACTGTCAGTTCAAGTGTTTCGGGATTCATGAACTCCGCGCCCCAACTGAATCCCCACGTGTACACCCAGCGGCCTTGGAAGGCCCACGGGATAAAGCCGATCGATTCGTACCGCTCCCCGGTCTTCCTCGTCAGTGCCTCCGCAGCCGAAGCAATCTCATCGATGTGGGTGGGCGGGCTATCTGGATCGAGACCGGCCTCTCGGAACAGGTCCTTTCTGTAGTAGAGGACGCGTCCGTCCATCGAGTAGAGGAAAGAATACCACTTGCCCTTCCACAAGTTCTGGTCATTGACCGCCTTGTAGAATAGGTCGGTGGTGAGGTTGGCCGCGCTCATCCTGTCTGTGAGATCGATCAGGGCTTCGTTTTCCGCCCACAGCGGCACCGAGGCCGGTTCAAAATCGACCAGGTCCGGTGGAATTCCTGCGGCGATGTCGGCCATGAGCGCCTCTGATGCCAGGGTGCCTGCAGTACGCGCCGCGCCCCAGGTATACTCCAAACGTAGATCCGGGTTTTCCTCGTTGAATTGGACTATCAGGTTCCTCTTCAATTCTCCGACCAGGCCCGAAGGGGCGTGAACTCCAGCGTACTCGAGCTGGACGATTTCGGGTCTGACAGGAACGGCGGTCACCTCTACCTCGACGGTCGTTGGCACGGCACAGGCCGCCAGTGCGGCGGCCCCAATGCCCCCTGCGCCGACGCGCAGAAAATCTCGACGTGATAGATGTTTACTCACTTTTCGCTTCTCCTTTCATACGTCAATGCAGTCTGGAAATGCGGTGGTCACTGTTTTGGTTATGGGAAGGTCCTTCCCCAAGCCACCTCCTTTGTTCCACGAACGGGCATTCATAAACGAAAGTGGTAAATATTGGGGCAACTACAGGGGCAACACTATAGGCAGATACACACTTTAGCGTCGTGCGGTCAAACCATCAGACAAGCACCAAGGTCGAAGTCCTGTGTTCCTGCTCTGAAGGACTAGGGACCGTCACCAGCCCTGAGTCGCGAGGGACACGCAGAGGAAGAACATCGTTTCGCGGCCACAAAGACGTGAATCGATTTCGCCCTGTCGCCCTGGCCGACATAACGCATCATTGTAGGGGCGGGGGATAGGCGCTAGGTCCAAATGGCGCTGGCCCAGTTGGATGTGAAGTGTCATCCTGGGACACTAGGCCTCAACCGCTTGCGGATGACAGTCGTACTCTTGGCTGGACGATCTCAGGCGCTTGCCACCCGCAAAGCGCCTCCAACGTCTCATAGCAGGCCCCCAGCGGGTGGTAGTCGGTCTTGGAAGGCGGGCTTTTGAGCTCGTCGTATTTCTGATTGTTGCATCCAGGATCCGATACCAACCGCCGTACTCGTGATCGACGAAGTACCGGTCGGAATAGGCCCACGCCTTATCGTACCAGTCCCAGTAGCGGTCGTCGCCGGTGCGCAGCGCCAACGCAGCCGCGCGCGGCGAATGTTTCCGACAACACCCAGTAGTAACGGTCGCGATCCAGAATGGTGCCGTCTGGCGCGAACGTGTAGTGCATGCCGCCATTCTCGTCATCCCAGCTCTTCTCCAGCGCGACATCGAAGAGGTGGCGGGCGCGCGGCAGCATCCAATCCTCCGGGCGGTAGCGTTCCAGGATCAGCAGCAGCTTGGACCACTCGGTGAAGTGACCCGGCAGGTAACCGTAGGGCTTAAACAGGTTCTGGGGATCGTCCTTGTTGAAGTCCCAGTCATGGCTCCAGTCGGTGCGGTAATGTTCCCAGACAAGCCCGTCCGCCTTGTCGGCCAGGTCGACACAGATGCGCCGCGCCAGCAAATGGGCCCGATCCAGGTAACGGGTTTCGCCGGTGGCCTCGTAGGAACAGAGCATGGCCTCGCACATGTGCATGTTGGCATTCTGGCCGCGATAAGGATCGATTGCGTTCCAGTCGCCGGCCGCGATCAAGTCGGCATAGAGTTGCGCCTCCGGTTCCCAGAAGCGCGCCTCAAGCAGGTCGTACACCTCCGCCGCAAGCGCGGCCGCGCCCTCGACCCCAGCCTTGGCCGCGGCCGCCGCCGCCAACAGCACGAAGGCGTGCCCGTAGCAGTGACGGTCGCCGTCTTCCACCTCCCGGCCATGCAGCACCCAGGCGAATCCGCCGTCAGCCTGCCGGTGCGAATCCCTGAGACATCGCAGCCCGTGCGCGGCCGCGTCCCGGTAGGCAGGCTCCTCCAGCGCCAGCGACGCCATCGAGTAGCAGTAGACAAAACGGCAACTGCCTACCAGGTGCTTGGTCATGCGGTCGAAGACCGAGCCGTCGTCGCGCAACTGGTTGACGTAGCCGCCGTACTCGTCGTCGATGCAGGTGGGATGATAAAAGGCGATGATCCTGCCAATGTGATTGCGCAGGAAGTCGGCGTCACGATATGACATCTCAGGTTCTCCTCTTTGCGTGTCTGTGGAAAAGCGCCGCGGCGCTGGTGGCCTATCTCAAATCCAAGGGCCCCAAGGGTCGCATTTCTGCAGCCGTTCGCCCAGAGCGGCGTAGATGTCGGGCAGGTCAAAGTTGTCAAGCAGTTTTCTACCATAGTGGAAAGCGGCCAGTTGTGCAAGGGGTTGTCGATCAGCAACTGGTAGCTCGGCAGATAGTGGACAAGCTCACATGTCGGCTGGGAAGCGTGCAATAGAGCTGCCAGCGCGACCGGCACCGAGCCGACGCCGCGGCCAATCAGATGTACCTCTGCGCCGCCGTCCACCAGGCAGTCGATCGTGCGCAGCAGGTCCAGGACGCGGCGTCCAAGATAGCTCTCGCCCATCATGCTGCCGAAGCTGGCGTAGAGATAGTCGGCTCCATACGGTTCGAGCAGGTCGCTGGAGCCGCATGTGGTGGGGAAGCTCTGGCCGGTGCCGCGCAGGTCGACGGCGAGGATGCGCTGCCCTTCGGTCAGACACCGTTGCAGCCAGGGCAGCGTGGCGCAATCCTCTTCGCTGGAAAGATGGCCGGCGTATAGAGAGACGGGCCCCCGCGGCCGGCGGCACTGGTTTTCCAGGTCGCCGAACATGGTCAGAATGACCTGGATGCCCGCTTCGCTCTCGACCGCGAACTGATAGCCCTTGCCTGTTGCGGAGTCCTGCCCGCCGTTGCGGCGCAGGTAGCGGTAGTGGGGCGGCGAGTCCGGCATTTCGATCTGCAGGAGTTTTCTTGCAGCGTCCTGTAGGGCCGCGTATTCGAAGCGCGGGCGCTGCGTTCCCAACTCTTTGGCTCGCGCTTGCGTGAAGCCGAATATCTTTCTGCTACCGAACGGGACCACCTCCCCCTCGGCCGCGTTAAGTTGCGTCTCCGCGATCTCCTCCATCGGCGTCTCCTGCCGGGATTCGTTCAGGCCGGCATGTTTAATGAAGAAGCCGTACATCGCTTCACGCGCATGTTTGTGAAAGCCGTGATCCAGATGGCCGACGCTGATTTCGGCGGAGTCAGGCGAACCCAGCAGTGAATGGATCTTTTTCATTTCGGCGTGCGCCTGGCGGGCGCCGCGCAGGTCAAAGTAGCAGTTTCCTCGGCCAGGATCATGGTGGGGCGCGGCGCGTAGGCCAGCAGCAGATCGGCTTCGTCCAGGCCAAACTCGAGCGCCCGCGGCGGGTTCTGTTCGGCGTCGGCGGGTAGTTCATTTTCGAGGTTGCACAGCCAACTGGTGATGAAGCAGTCCGGCGCCGCCATCGTGATGCGAGGGTCGAGCGCCGTCACCTGCGTGGTCTGTGTTCCGCCGCCGGAGCAGCCGGTGACACCGACGCGGCTCGTGTCCGTCTCCGGCCGCGCCAGCAGATAGTCGAGGCCGCGGATGGCGTCCCAGGCAAACCAGCTGCCGACAGAGTCGCCGGTCAGCAACATGCGGTTGCCGATCATATTGTGGGCAACCGTCGAGCGGGGGCCTGATTCCCCTGCGGGCACGCCCTCCTCGGTGTAGAATTGCCGTCGTTCCCCCTGCGAGACGGGGTCCACGATCAGGACGGCGAAGCCCTTGCTGGCCAGCCGCGCGCAAAGAACTGGTACGGCCCGTAGGCTTTACCGTTTTCGGAATGGCCGCACAGTCCGAGGACGCAGGGCAGTTCTGCGTCAATCCGCGCGGGCATGTAGAGGTTTGCGCTGACCAGGAAACCGGGGCGACTCTCGTATACGACCTTTTCCAAACGGATATCCCCGAGATCCGACGTGCCCGTTGTCCGCGCCTTGAGGTCTGTTCTGGCCGGCAGTGCAGGAAAGCAGCGTGCAGCCTTCGCCCGCACGTCGTCCACGTATGCCTGGGCCTCCGCCCGCGTCTGGACGGCGGCCAGCCTCTCGGCTCGCTCCTGCAAAATTTCGCGTACCCGGCCGACCGTGTACTCGTGGACCATGTGTCCATAGCGATTCTGGTGCATAATCTGAATTCCTTGAATGGAAGGACTAGGAAAAGGTTACCCCTTGATTCCGCTCATGACAACTCCCTGCACGAAGGTCTTCTGGAAAAAGAAAAAGATAATCAGGCCGGGCAGCAGCACCGTCACGGAGGCGGCCATCAGCCAATGGTATTTGACGCCGTAAAATTCGATTGCGGCCCGAAACATGTTCAGACCAAGGCAACGGTAAAGTTTTCCATCGTGTTGAGGAAGATGAGCGGATCGAAGAAATCGTTCCAGCGAGCCATAAAACTGAGGATAGTGATGGTCGCCAGGGCCGGCCTGGAGAGCGGCAGAATGATGCTCCACCAGATTCGAAACTCGGAACAGCCGTCGATACCGGCGGCCTCGTCCAGATCGATCGGAATCGTCATATAGAATTGGCGCATCAAAAAGATGAAAAAGGCGCTGCCGCCAAACCAGAGCGGCACAATCAGCGGCCAGAAGGTGTCAATCCAGTCGAGGTTGCGAAAGAGTATAAAACGAGGAACGATGGTCGAATAGGTGGGTACCATCATCGTAGCCAGCACCAGAAGAAAAATCTTGTCCCGGCCCGGCCAGCGCAGTCTGGCGAAGGCGAAGGCGACCATGGATGAAGAGATGACCGCTCCCACTGTGGCGGTGACGGTGACATATATGGTGTTGAGGAAAAAGCGGGTGAACGGCAGTATACCGAACAGGAGATGCGATAGTTCTCCCAGGCCAAAGGGTTGGGAATCCAAATCGGCGGAAAAAGGTAGACCTGCTGCTCGACTTTGAGAGAAGTGGAAGCATCCAGAAAAAAGGGAGTGCCATAAGTACGCCAAGCGCGCAAAGCATGGTGAAGTTGAACGATCCCCATATCCGGCGTTGCAGCTGTTTCCCCACCGTCCGGCGAGCAAACATTTTACCCTTCCTCCCGCAACTCAGATTCGTAGAAGACCCATATTCGCGAAGAGCGAAGTACCAGGATCGTCAGCGCCAGGATGATTACAAACAGGATCCAGGCCATAGTGGCGGCTTTGCCCATGCGGAAGAACTTGAAGCCGTTATTGTACAGATAGAGGACGTAGAAGAGGGTGGCGTTGGCCGGGCCGCCCTCGGTAATGACATACGAGTTGGTGAAGGTCTGGAACGAGCCGATAATGCCGATGATCAGATTGAAGAAGATCACAGGAGTGAGCAAGGGCCAGGTGACATGTTGGAACTGGCGCAGACGGCCGGCGCCGTCGACTTCGGCTGCGTCATACAGTTCCTGGGGTACGCCTTGCAGACCGGCGAGAAAGATGATCATCGACCCGCCTACGCCCCATAGGCTCATGAGAATGAACGCCGGCATGACCCAGGTTCTGCTGAAGAACCAGTTCGGTCCTTCGATGCCGACGTTCCCAAGCAGATAGTTAGCTATGCCAAACTCGCCGTTGAATACCCAGATCCAGAGCATGGCCACCGCCACGCCCGACACGACCGCGGGCAGATAGAAGACTGTTCGGAAGAAGGCGATGCCGGGCAGGGCTGATTTAGCAGCAGCGCCAGCAGCAGGGCGAAGAGCAGCCCGAAGGGTACCGAAAAAAGGCTGTAGACGCTGGTAACTTTCAGGGACTGCCAGAATAAAGGGTCGTCCGTGAAGAGTTCCAAATAATTGTCCAAACCTGTCCAGTTTGGGGCTTGATCAGATCCCATTTGAAGAGGCTGATGCCCAGCGAGGCGATAAGAGGGCCAATTCAAACAAGGTGAAGCCTATCACCCACGGCGAAATAAAGAGCATTGCCACCCAGAACTCGCGTCTTGCTCTACGACTCATCTGCTTCATGGCTGTAAGCAATCCTTAAAACATGGGGCAGTCCCCGACTTGAGCCCTACTGCGAGTGAAGTAAAGAGAAGTAAGGCCGGGAGTTTGCGACTCTCTCCTCTCTTTCCTCTCTCCTTGTCATGGGAGGAGCGCCACAAATCCGGTCGTTGTCTCGTTGCATGGTGGCGCCCACTTTGGCAGAGTCCGCCGCACCCCATGCTCAAGGATCTGCTCGGCCCGCTGCCCCTGTGCCAGCACAGAAAACGTCCTGGTCTCGTAAGGGCACATCTCCCGTCCCGTCGCGTCCACAGGAGCGCGGCGAACGAATGCGAGGTTTGTTTTCGTACACAAGAGTCCTTGAGAACGGCTCTAACGATTCTCCCTTCCAGACTGCGGCGCCTATGCACAGCAGATACGGGCTGTCGTGCGCATTGTGTGTGATTGAAGATGAAATTGCGTTGATCGCATTTCGCGCTCCTTTGCTGACTCTCCGCCCGACACACCTGCCCCCCTTTGCCCTGTAAGCGGCTCTCCCGCTCTCCCTGGGTGTATGCTTGGACCCAAGAACTGGACCACGAGCTAAGGTGCATAAATGAACAATTCACTAAGCATGTGGAGGGACAGAATTATGGCCAAGACACGGCGGCGACACACCGCTGCCTATAAGTTCCGGGTTGCCCTGGAAGCGCTTGAAAGCAGCAAAACGATCAGTCAGTTGTCCAGTGAGCACGAGGTTCATGCCTACCTGATGCGGGCCTGGAAACGGCAACTGCAAGCCTGCTGACCCACTATTTCGACTTCTACAACCATGAGAGACCGCATCACGGTCTCAACTATCGGACACCAACTGAACGGCACTATGCGCTCTGATCAGAGCCGGCCGCTCCGTCTGGATGCACCTTATTTTTCCCGTTTCGTGGTCTGGCGATTGGGGCCAACCATAATCGCCTTTACAAAGAGAAATAAACCCTATCACTCACCCCCATCCCGCTGTTGTTACTATTGTATGTAATTTCCAAAGTTATGGATGCACAGATAAAGACAAAGTGAAGAGAGAGGAGTAAGTGGCTACATCTTACCCCTCTCTCCTTTTCCCGCTTATCTCATCCGCTGGTGAGGAATCTCAGGCGGCATCCTGAATCACCTTGTTGATGTCGGCGCCCATGTTGGCGCACGCTTCCGCTGCCGTCAGTTCGCCCAGCCACACCTGATCCGTGTACTGATTCCAGATCGATGACATCTGCGTCCAGGGGATCCTGGAGGTGATCGGCAGAAGATGGCCATGTTCCACCTGCGAAACCTCCTGAATGCCCACTTGGTCCCAGGCGCTCATGGCCCAATACTCGGGGTTCTCGTGGTTTTTTCGCGTTGCAGGGTAAATGAACTTGTACTCTTCGTGCTGTATCCACTCACCCTCCGGGCCCGTAATCATCTTGATCAGGTCATAGGCCAGGTCGGTGTACTCGGACTGGGAGGACACGAACTCGTTGTTCGACTTGGTGATGCACTGCGCCCCTTCCGGTCCGGCGGCGACAAAGCATGGCTGGACCTTGTCATTGCCGCCGAGGGAAACGGCCCGGTTTAGCGGCTGCCGCGACCAGGCGGAGTTCATCCCCACGTTGCCGCTGCGATAGCTCAGACCGAGGTCCTGGGAAGTCCCGGGGGCTGGCATGATCTGGTGAGTGTCTTTCATGTCGAGGGCGTACTGAATGGCGGTGACAAAAGGCTCGGAATCTATGAGACATTGGGTCTCATCTTCGTTGAACATCGACCCGCCGAAGGTCCAGGCCATGGGCAGCCAATAGGCCCAACTGTAAAAGGAAGTATGGAAGTAGATGTTGTTTTCTATGTCGGTGATGGCTTTGCCCAACTCGACATGCGTGTCCCAGTTCCACTCCCCTTGCTCATAGTACTCGAGTGGCGTCGACATGCCGCTTTGGGCGACGAGATCGGTGTTGTACTGCCAGATCATCGGACCGGCGTCGGTTGGCAGGCCGTACAGCTTGCCATCCACGGTCATGTCCGGCAGGAAATGCTCTACATAATCATCCCTGCTGGCATCCGGGTCGGCATCCAGCAAAGGGTTCAGGTGGACGGCCATCCCCTCGAGAACCAGTCGGGGGCCCAGTAGGCATCACATTCGATTGCATCGGGCGCAGTGCCGCCCGCGTACATGGTGAGAATCTTGGTGGGGTACTCACCCCACCCCACAAAGACCGACTCCACATCGACGTTGGGATTCGCCTCCTTGAACGCGGCGAGTTTTGCCTCCTGGCGTTCCAATTGCTCCTCGCTGCCCCACCACGACCAGGACATCGTGATCATCTCCTCGGCCGCTCCGCCTTCTGCCTCTCCTTCGGCCATCCCGGCTGACGGAGAGGCAGGCGCCGCGCAGGCCGCCAACACATGCCGCGCCTCCGGCCGAGCCGGCCAACGTCAGAAACTGTCGTCTGCTGATAGTTACCTTTGTCCATGGCTTGCGCTCCTTGTATGCAGTTGTCTGTCGCAATGCCCTGGCAGTTGGGCATCGGCGCCTTGAATCGATGAGAAGAAAACTCAATCAAACTGCGGCGGAACCGGGGCTTTGTTTGGTGATGGGCGAACTCCTTCGTGGTAGTGACGGCCGTACTGTAGCCAGTTGCCGGTTACTGCTTCAAGTTACCGCGGGTGGCCACTGGCCATAAGCACCAAGAAACATTGTTTACTTGGCCATTGTATCCATTCGGCCGGTCAATGTCAACGGTCCCGAAAATGCAAGGAATGGAGGGAATTACTGGCACCATTGACCAGGTCCGATTTACGCGGTATAAATGGGGCAATCCCTGCATGAGCGAAATGGAGATCAGGATGCCAAGCCCCTTCCCCGGCATGGACCCATACTTGGAGCACGACGGACGCTGGTCGGACTTACGCCAGCGCCTGATAGTCTATATTTCTGAATCGCTTCGACCTCAACTGACGCCGAAGTACATTGCACAAATTGACGTGAGGATTGAACATAGACCACAGGGCAAGGGGGAAGAACGACGGATTCCCTATCTTCGAATTGTCAATCTCCCATCTGGGGACGCGGTCACAATGATTGAGGTACTGGGTCCAGCCAATAAGCAGGGGAGCGGAAGAGACCGGTATTTCCAACTGCAGGACAAACTGCTCAACTTGCCGGTCAGCCTGGTTGAAGTCGATCTTCTGTCGAGGCACGTCAACCTATGCCCGCTTTTCTAAGTTGCACTGACTGGCGATACAACATATGTATCAATCGTCCTCAAAAGCTTAGGGGTGTGGAAGTCTACGCGATTCCCCTGAGAGACCGGCTTCCGCGTTGCAAGATTCCCCTGCTACCGGAAGATGATGACGCCGTGCTGGACCTGCCTGCCATTCTTGCGCGCTGTTACGAAGTTGGCGGCTATGACCTGCTGCTTGACTACAGCAAACCGCCGCCGGTCTCGTTGAGCAAGGCCGAGGAGGAGTGGATGGAAGCGTTACTCCTGAAAAAGGGCTTGAGAACTGCGCCTGTTCAGCAATAGGTTCGAGATGAAATCTCAAAACGTTGTCAAGATGCTCTGCTTTTCGATTCAACCACCAGCGGATTCCTGAAGGAATAAGAATATCATTCGTTCATGATTCGGAAGCTGCCAAGCCATGTCAATGACGTCGCACTGGCGCGGAGAGAAGGGTCCTGCGTTTCATTGCACGTTATCGGGTCGTGCGACACCAACGACATTTCAAATGGCAAGTGCGTAAAGGAGATCAGCATGCCAAGCCCCTTCCCAGGCATGGACCCATATTTTGAGCACGGTGCACGCTGGCCGGATTTGCACCAGCGCCTGATTGCTTACTCATCGGAGCTGCTCCAACCACAGTTGCTTCCCAAATACGTTGCTCGCATTGACGAACGGATCGAACTGAAGCCCTATGGCAAAGAGTTTATACCCGATGTCATGGTGGTAGAGCCGACGCGAAAACTATCGGAGACTCAGGTTGCCTACGGTTCGCTGGTAGCAGATGAGCCGCAAACGATCAGAGTATTGGATGACGAAAGACGCGTTCCATACATCCAGATGGTTAGTGTCGCGTCCGGAGATGTGGTAACACTGATCGAGGTCTTGAGTCCGGCCAACAAGATCGGACGGGGACGAGACCAGTATCTTGAGAAGCAGGATGAGATTCTCAACACACCGGTCAACTTGGTTGAAATCGATCTCCTCTCGAAGCCGACGGCTACCTATGCCCGCCTTTTTGAGGTAACTGCCCCACAAGACTGGCGTTATATCATCAGCGTCAGCCGTCCCCAACGGCGCACAAGCGTGGAAGTCTACGCGATTCCCCTGAGAGACCGGCTTCCGCGCTGCAAGATTCCCCTGCTACCGGAAGATGATGACGCTGTGCTGGACCTGCCTGCCATTCTTGCGCGCTGTTACGAAGTCGGCGGCTATGACCTGCTGCTTGACTACAGCAAGCCGCCGCCGGTCTCGTTGAGCAAGCCCGAGGAAGAGTGGATG